TAAACAGAGAACATTTTCCCTGTCACTAGGTAGCATGCTACTTTTTAAAATTAATCATGGCTGCATAGTATTCCATCTTATGAATTTGCTGGGAGCTTTTAAAACCATTCTCTTGTTGTTAGATACTGACATTTCCCATTTTAATGCGACATATTTGAAAAGGCTTGAAAAGCAGCATTGAGGTCCAGGGCTCTTGAGAGAGGCAGTCATAGGAAAGGGCCAGTGACCTCCCTGCCTTGGGCAAGGACCAGGCCTAGACAGCAAGAAAAGGTAGCAAAGGAAACACTGATGGTGGGGAAAAGTTGAAATAAGCCCAATTTTTATACAAAGGATTTAGAGCCAGCTATCCCCCAAGTATGTTATGTACACATGGAGTGTGCATGGCAGAATCTTTGGTGGGGGAGGGGGGGGTGTCACTGCTAAGAGCTTATGCTGAACTAGCATGTTCTATAGTTGAGGTTAGCGGTGGAATTATTTTCTTAATCTTGGCCAGTCTCCTGTCCAGAGTTTCTGGAAAGGAAAGGAAAGATTTGAACCTTCACAAAGAACTTTTTATTCTAGTCTAGACATTCTGGGATTCCTATAGAGTATTTCAGACTCTTAGGTTTCTAAGATTCCTAGGTTTTGACAGCCATCTAGGGGTAGACCTCTTTATTGGTACTGATTCCTAACCCTGGGGGGTCCCTAGAGGTCCCCTGGAACTTGTCTGTAAGGTGGGTGACCTTTCCTCCAGCCAACCTCCATTTGTTGGCACAATCCTGGCTGGGGTCCTCCTTCCAGCCTGTGCTTATCTAGTACAGATAAGCTTTGTTTGTAGGGACCTGGCACTCCCTAGATTGTATCTGATGAGGGTACAATCCTTTTGTGACCCATGTGATCCTCATCCTGTGGACTCTGGGAACAACGAAAATCCAGGACACAGGGTCATTGCTCTTTCCAGTCCTTAGTGGCCCTACACAGGTTCAAGAACCTTCTATCGGGAGATACACATTCATTGGTGGGACCTGAGATGCGTAACACTTAAGCGTTTTATCACCGTAACTAAAAATGCAAACTTCACTACTCCCTAAGCATTAGGCAGGAAGCTGTCAAATTCTTGGAAATGAGGCATGCACATACATTCCTAAAAGACGGTGTACAGCGTGGCTGGGTGTGTCTGGTCTAGGGCCAAAGGTGAATTTTCTTGATGTCTAAGAGAGTTGCAGTGAGCATGCACTGTAAAAACCTTAGCCAAGTTGGCATAAAGGAAGCAAACAGATAGGATGGATGTCTCCATGTCTGGGGCAGGGTTCTGGGTACACAGCTTGTGGCAACTGAGAGATGTCACTGTCCTCTGTGTAATTCTGGGGAGAGTGTGCTGCAGCTCATGTGTGGGCATTTTTCTACACGTTAAATGTTAGTTCACATATTGATCCCTAACCAAAAGGAAAAAAATGGAAAATACAATCTCTAAATACTTCATGAAGAGGAGAGACAGGGAGTTGGGGAGGGAAGGTTGCTTCCTCAGTGGGTGCTGACCTCATAGTCAGGATCTACCATCATACAGAATGAATATATAGATCTTAGATCTGTTCAGTTAGACACTTGCTTTTTTAAAATAAGAAATGTGAACAGGCAAGGAAGGCTACTTTCCAGTTCCCCCTGGGGCTGATGGGAGAGAAAGTATTAGTTCAGATATCTTAGCTTGGCCTAAGTAGGTCAAAGTTTGAGGTGAGATGGATAAAGAAGGGTGGAGTAAAATTCCCTGCCTTTTGTAAGGCTCTACCCTTACTCTGAGTGGGATAAAAACAGATTTGGAATACCCTACTCATTATTGGCTCTTTCTGTTCTCTCAGTTTACTCCTCTCTCTGTCTCTTTTTCCCTTGAAGCTGATGGGTTGGGGCACGAGGAGGGGGTAAGGTGGGGGTTGGTCTGTGACTGAAACTGGGAAGAAGAAAATCAGCATTTGGGTTTCTCCTTCCACCTCTCCCTGGAACCTTAACCTTCTGCTGGATACATATCGCTAACCCATGCTTTTAAAATACCTTATTAGTCCTATTTGGAAAGCCATATTTTCCAACTGCAGAGGGTTTCCTGCAGCTTTTCCCATGTCCCCAGAGTTGCAGTTTGAAGAAAAGGGAGTGCTGTGAATGCAGAGGTGCTTGGAGAAGGTTTGGGGACAATTGTTTGGTCACCTAAGTTGACATTAAAAGTCAGAGAGGGTCACCACCCTCATGGGTTCAGAAGCCCAATTGGTCAGAACTGAGTGGATCTCTTTCTCACAAAGACTAGTGTATACAAACCCCAAAAGATAATGTATGAAGTTATACAGAAATACAAAATGACTAATGAAACCAGATATGCCTGTTTGCTGATCAGGGCTTTCTTGTGCATTCTTCTACATGGGAAACCAAATTACAGTCAGAATACCAACATGCAATGGAAAATGTCCATTCGGTTAAGTGATCAGATTCTTGTGTCCATTGATCAGCACAGTCTGTCCTGACAGAGGCCAAACTAGAAGGAGAGAGTTTCTTAGAGAACATGGATTCAGAATAAGATGGTTCGTTGGAGAAGCTTAGTGGCTAGTGTCATCAAACCAGACCAGCCTGATACTGCTGTCTCCACTCTAGGGATGGAGCTGCTAGATGTCCCATACACAGGCCAGGGCTCCTGCTCCCAGGACAGCACTGGAAAACTTCTGCCAAAGTCCTCGGACTTCCCATCATTTCCTTTTTT